ATGAACACAAGAAGCTTGGGTGTGTGCTAGATTATGGGACACATTAGAATAGTCTAAATATAGTAATTGCATAGTTGCTTAAAACGGCGCTGCAACTCTTTTTACGTTATTGTAGAATCACCTAACCCTATTTGCCTTACGAGTATCCAGTCAAATGAATAATTTTTTAATCATTCAAGGAGAAGCAAAGTCATCACACGAATTGAGCACCACCGAGTCGCGGGAAACTAGAAGGAAGTGGAGAATAAGAAGCAGTGCACCGGCTAATAGCTATAACCTTGAGCATGTGCCCATGGCCTTGAGCATATTCAATATTTTCTCTGAATGCACCCACTACTCAGACATTTGCAGGGCTAGCACACCATGGTACATAGCGCAAGTCCCAGTAGCAATATCATGCAACATGTGGCCTCAGAAATGCCGAGGTTTCATAGAGATTTTGAATTGGCATGGCATTTACCAAAGCAGCCAATACCTATCAAGCCCGCTTGCTGCATATTTGTGGACAATATAAAAGAGTAATCTCTGGCTGGTTTTGACAAGAGATGGTAAGTTTCCTGCAGAACACAGTCCAAAAATATTTCACTCATGTCCACTTGTGGCCTTGACTACAAATACAGTAGAATCTCGATGATACGAATCTCGCGGGGTCACAAAAATATTTGTAATAGCCAAAATTCGTATTATTGGAACACACAGAAAACTAGCTAAATTAACACCGAGTCAAAGGCAAACTCATTTTCGACACTCGAAAAATTATTTTTTGGAGAAAAAATTTCTGATGTCTTTCTGCTTTTTTTTTTCCAAGTCACTCAGCAGACTTTTCTGAAATCCGTAAAAACGCGTGCACGTGTCATCACTGATTCCTTCAGCAGCCATAGCATGCCTCAGGACAATGAGCACGTGCAGAGTTTAAGCCGCCGGCAGTGGTCCTTCGCCGTCGCACTCGTCCATTTCCTCGTCATCGTCACTGGAATCGGCAACCTCACACATGGCCTCGTTGGCAATATCTCCCACCGTGCGCACACCACAAGTGGCAAGATTGTCATCCGCCGTGCAAAAGTCGTCAGCCGAACACCCGGCATCAAGGCATTCCCAACACTCAATGGGCTCCTCCGACTCTGAAAGGGCCTGTGACCCCTCTTCGGGAATCCTAAAGAAGCCGCATTTACAAAAGCAGTTCGCAATGGTAGTCGGCGTTACTCTATCCCAAGCCATTGAGATAAAATGGGCGGCGTCCAAAAGGCTTATTCGCAGGCCACCTTCGTCTTTCCTGTCGATTTTGGCAAGGAGGTGGCGCACGAGAAGGCTTTTGAAATGATGCTTCACGTTTTTTATAATGCCAGCGTCAAGCGGTTTCAAGTGCGTCGTCGTGTTTGCGGGCAAAAAAAACCAGCTTGACGTTTTGAAGTGTCACTTGCTTCGGGTGGGCGGCGCACTGGTCAAGAATCAGAACAATCTTCCGATTCTTGCAGGCCATTCTCCTGTCAAGGAGACAAAAATTCTTCGAACAGGGCCACCATCATCCACGCTTTTTTGTTTGCGCAATAAACGCATGGCAAATAACTCTCGCGCTTGAAACACTGAGGCTTCTGAAAGTTTCCAACTATGGTCAACTTCAGTTTTTTCGACCCGTCGGCGTTACAGCACAGAAGAACCGTTATTCTTTCTTTGCTTTTTTTTTGCCTCGTTGGCACGCTTCACCTTTTAAGCAAAGGCTCTTCTCGGGTTGAAGATTAAAAAACAGGCCTGCATCACCTGCATTAAAAACATCACGAGGCTCATACCCAGAGGTAAGAGACTCCAGCTTCGCGAGCCAGTCGCTAACAACGATCTCGTCAGACGCTTTTGTACACGATAACGTGTCTCGTCTTGACGGTGCAGCCACCCACCTGAGGCCTGGAATCCGTCGATGTGCAGAGCAAGTACGATCTCGTCGGCTTTTTCACGCAAAACTTTGCAGTCAATGCTCACACCGGCTGCAGTAACTTACTTAAACCAGATCAATAAAGATTCTTCAAGTTTCACGAGTTGAGCTGTCTTCGATTGCTTCGCGTTGACTCTGAACGAAAGCACATTTTTCATTATTGTGTCCTGCTGTCCAACCATTGTGCTCAATGTCGACGTAGCGAGGCCTAGCTCCTTAGCCAACTCCGTGCGTTTTCTCCTTCCCGTGTGTTTTGGTTCTCAAGGTCGCCCTCCCGCCGCATCCTCCCCTCTCATTATCGCAACTCCTTGCCCTTCTCTCGCAAGTCTGCTCTCCTCTCTTGATCACAACCCCTTCGCCCTTCTCCCCCGCTTCGCGACGCTTGCCATGCTGGTTCGAATTAGTTTCGTTTTTTGACTGGAAATGGGCCCAGAGCTTTTCCACGCATTCTGGCATGTGTGTCGCGTGTGCGCATCTTGCTCGCTCTTGGTGTGCGTGTGTGGTCATGATGGTCTACGGGAGAACTAGCATGCTTTTTTCTGCCGCTCAACAAAATGTCAAAAGTGTTACCGCTTGGCTTGAGCGTAATCTGTGCATTAGGTGCCGCTTTGTGGAGCGCTTGCTCATAGCTGTGGACTACCTGGCAGCCAACTTGCCTCTTCGAACGCCGCAGTATTCAGCTGTGGAGATGATGAATATTTCGTGGGCGGCAGTGACGACTACATGTGCGCGAAACTGTTTTCGCGAGGCCGACTTCGTCGACCTTGGGCCCAATGCTGAGTCAAGCTTCCGAACTGCGGCAGCGATTTATAGCGGCGAGTCGTCGACTCTGACCTGGGAGAGCGGGTGGCAGATCTGTTGCGATGATTTAATTACGGCTGATGATGATGCCAACACGGTGGAATCGTGCACAGATTGGGGCATTGTGAATGAAGTACGTGGCGAGAGCGATTTACAGGAATCAGATTGCGAGAACGACGAAACTTTAGAGCCAGTGCTTCATGCAGCTTATGCTACAGGCCTCCGCGAACGAGCACCCTGCCCTTTTAAATGACCTCGAGACCGCCCTTATCGCTTCTGCTCTTCGAAACACATAGATCCCGGACTTTAAGGGGCAAAAAAAGTTTGTGTTTTCACTTGCAACTTTTTTGAGAAGCTGTGTTTCATTTACTACGAACTTCGGGATACAGCGAATGGATGCGGCGTCACGCTCAGGTTCATTATAAGTAGGCTCAACTGTACTAAAATACGATAAAGCGGACAAAGGAACTTGAACCATTTAACTATTAACTAATAAAGTATACGAACGCATTAACTCGCTGACATCGAACATGAACATTTTTGTTTCTTTTATGAAAAAAAAAAAAAAGAGTACAAGCAGATTGCCTCCGCGTTCCCATCGAGTACGAAACCAGAACTGCCCTCGCGACAGCACATTGCGAGCATGGTTGCGAGTTTGTCACACAGCCCCGTTTCATGCAAGACTAGTCTGCGTCATAACTGTTCGTGACTCGCCCAACCAAGCTCATACCAAAAACAAGTTATTTTACACGCTACAGCGGCGTCGATACTTTATTGCGCACCAAAAACTTGTCAGCTGGCGTTTCAAACAAACGAACGACTTTTCGCATTTCTGCGAAGAAAAAAAAAAACAACGTAATTCCATGATTTTTGCGGCATCGACCTTTTCTTCATATTTCTGTCGAAAAATGTAAATTCCGTGATTTTTCGCGGAATCGCAGAAAGCTAAGGGCCTTGCGCATCATCATACGGCCGGTCAAGGAAACTAATCTACAAGGCTCGTGGCGATACCAAGCACGGCTCCAAGCGCGTATAAATCGCATCACAAAAGCTTATTTACAGCACTCCATATGACTGCAAAGTGCCCTGCCGCTTGGACAGTGCAGGCGGCGCATGATGCACTTGGCGGTGGCATTCAATGACAATGCGCGAAATGTGTAGCTATGATGACCAAAAAAATCAGCGCCCACTGCGCTTGGTATCCCATTTTCGAGTGACGACGCGCGAATTGCTAGCCGCTGTTCTGAGCAATCCTTGGCAGTGGAGGAGGGGGGGTGTTGACCAGCTTGACTGTGGGGTCTGTTGCTGATGTGTAAAATGCCCGTCCGCAGTTTCGAGGAGCTAGCGAGTGATGTGCTTCATTGCTTGCGAAGAAGCATGTTGCCACGAGTGTGCTAGTGCGTCGTTCTTTCCCGCAGTCTGGCCATCAGCGAAGTTAGGCCTAAAGACGACTCCGATGACGCGCCACGCACTAAGATGCGCGCCCGCTTGTAGTGATCTGATCGTGCATCCGGTTGCAGCTCCTAACTAGAGCGTAGTTATTTTCAAGTGATCATCGAGCCTACAACACGTCACGAAGTAGCGATTTTCGAGAGCCATGTCCTCGCGACGCACAAGCAGCAGACGACGATCTCCCGTAGCGAGCATCGGGCCAATGGCGAGGAGAGCTGAGGCAATGAAAGCCACAGCTAATTAAGAGCCTCGAATCGATCTTAAAACATTTGCTTTTTGTGCACTTGTCTTTAAAGGGAGGAGCCAGATGAGTCGAGAAATTTAAACATGGAGAAATGCTCTTTCCAATGAGCCCAAGAAGCTGGCTCCCGGCTGCGCCATCGCGAAGCTATAATTTTTTTAAAATTACTGTTTTCTCGCGATTTCCAGAAAAAGACTTCGCTACCTAAAAGGGTGAAACGAATTTCTTTACGAGCAATTCTGCGCGGTTTTCAGTGTAGATATTTTGGAATCAGATAAAGAAAGGGTTCAAACACTGAGAAGTTGATTTTCAAAAATTTTTTTTTGCCATTTTTTGCGATACCCTCCTTAAAATTTAAGCAAGATGTTTGCTCGTATGATTCTTCAGGGTTGCACGAGTGTTCCATGGGACAAGAAAAAACAGAAAAACCAAAAAGTAGCATCTGAAAGACATGCTTTCAGTTCTGTTAAAAGTGGCACCATCGAGACTTGGTTTCACCTTTGCAAATGTTTCCCACCATCCTGAATCAGTATCAAAACCGGTAAACAAAGCTTTTTTGCTTTCAAATTCTTTTCTCACCTCTGGGCGACCGATGCCTGAGGAAATGCAGCCTGACCGTAGGGCCCCTGTGGTGGCTGGCCGGGCATCCCAGGAGTCGGGGTGGGGCCAGGCCTGGCTGTCGGCATTGGTGCACCTGCATATCCACCAGGAGGAACCGGTTGCTGCTGTGCAGGAGGCAGAGGCTGCTGCTGCTGTTGTGGTGGAGGATGTCCTGCAGAAACCGCAACACTCAATGAAGCGAGACTATAACACATTTTACTGTAAAAGAGAAACCAATAGACCATTTTTATAATGCACTGAGTGCACTTCTCTGTGGTACATATTTGTCAAACTAATAGCAGCACCTGATAAGTTTCAAATGGAGAGGAGGTCCTAAATGCACGTGCTGAAGCTAATCAATCACATTATATTTTCCATTTTCCTCGTCATAGCGCGACATCTTAGAGAACATCTATGTCATAGAGCAAGCGAAGTGCATTCGAACACATTGTTTGCGGAAGTGAATACCCACCATTAGTTGGGCTAACTGCATCGCAGAAAATCTAGCTTTAGAATTATTAGAAGAGTACCTTAGAGTTTATTCCTTCACACGTATCTCTCTACAGCTTGTAATTACTTCTCCAAGAAAGTATCTGAGGAGTTACAGTCGAGCCCAACTATATCGAACTTGTTTATATCAAATTATCCCGTATATCGAACAATTCCTAAACACGGTAAGCTTACATTGAGAATATATAGCAAAAGTTACTGTCTTATCGAACGAAAATAGCAACGACAACTGATATATCAAACTCCATGTGCCTCAAAAGTGCCCCAGCAAGTTGGCTTTCCCTCACGGTGGCGGGGAAAACTGCCGGCGCCACCCTAGAAAAAGTTGTTTAGACCCGGTTGTGCGCGGGCTAACACCCCCCTCCAAGAAATGATCCTGGCACGCTCGCAGCGCTTACAGCCAATCAGAGGCCGTCGTGCTTTCTCCGAGGCGGTAGAAGTGAGCGCCATTTTTTCTTTCTTTATGCTTGTGTGCCTGCTGCTGCCGATTCAGCGTGGTCTGTGGTGTTGCCTGTTGGTGCTCTGTGAACTGTATTGGCGCGCTGTCATCATGGCTTGCGCAAAGAGGCAAAATTTGCCGTTCGTCGTGAAACTCGAAATCATCAATCGGACTGAGCGCGGTGAAAAGAAGTCCGACGTCGCCGCCGCGTATAAAATTCCAAGGAGCACCTTAAGTACTATCTTGAAGAACAAGGCAGACATCAGGGCCAAGTCGGACAAAAGGCCAGATGCCCGTGGCGCCCGACCTGTGCGCGCTGCTGTGTATGAAGATGTTGAAGCGGCCGTTTACAAGTGGTTTGTGGACGTTCGGTCGAGAAACATCCTGGTGTCTGGCCCTATGATCGAGCAGAAAGCCAAGGACCTTGCTTTTCCGCTTGAAAGGAATTATTTCCAAGGCAGTTCAGGCTGGCTTCAGTGGTTCAACAAACGGCACGATATCGTTGGCAAAGCTGTTACAGGTGAAAGCAGAGCGCCGGACCTGGACAGCGTAGAAAAATGGCTCGAGGAAAACTGGCGAGATATCGCAGCAAGATATAGAGCCCAAGATATCTTCAATGCGGATGAAACCGCTCTATTTTGGCAAATGTTGCCAAACAAGACACTTGCGTGTCGTGGCGACAAAAGCGGCGGCAAGGCAAACAAAGCTCGTGTGTCCGTGCTGTGGGCAGCTAATTTAGACAGATCGAAAAAGCTTCGACCTCTGGTTATCGGGAAAAGCACGGCACCGCGGTGTTTTCGAAATGCGCTGTCTCTTACAGTTACCTACCAACCAAACTCAAAAGCGTGGATGACCGGGGAGCTTCTCCGCAGATGGCTATCGTCGTGGAATGATAGGTCGGTAGGCGAAAATCACAAAGTGTGCCAGCTCGTGAACAATTGTTCATCGCACCACTGCAGTAAGACCTGCAGTGGTGCGATGAAAAAAGCAGCATCGAGCTGCATTTTTTGCCCCGAACACTACGTTTGTACTGCAACCACTGGATCAAGGCGTTACACGCACAATAAAAGCCGGCTATCGGAAGCGCCTGGTGGAGTGAGCTTAAGATCGACTTGCTCGGAGCTATTTCTATGTTGAGTAGATCGCGGGCAGATGTCAAGAAGGAGACGATCCAGAACTGCTTTAGGCATGCCGACTTCCGCATGCCTGGTGATGACACCCCAAGTGTTTTCGCCGAAGATTGGAATGAGCTGGCAGAGTTCCCGGGTGCTATCGATGGATCGACATTCGACAAGTTCGTCAGTGTGGACGATGATGTCCCCATCATGGGCCAATTACAGGATGAGGACTACATTGCAGACGTCGTACCGACCACGAGCCAAAGCGACAGCGATATGGAAATCGACGACGGCCCATTGCCTACATCCTTTGAAGTGATTAGTGCACTTGCGTTGGTCCGGCGCTATTGCTTGAATGTGGAAGGTTGCGGCCTCAGTTGCTCCGACTCGTTGGACAACGTGGAGGCGTGTGTGCTGTCGCAGGCAGCGAAGTCGTTGAGCCAGAAAAAAATCCGGGAGTATTTTGTTCCACAGTAGGGCACGCAAGTAAGCCACCATATTAATAAAGTACTTTTCGTCTAGTTTGTTATGTGCCTTTGTGTCAAAACCTACACCGGGCCTATATCGAATTATGCCATATATCGAACTAATAAACGTTTTTTGGCGAGTTTAATATACCCGGGTTCAACTGCACTGAAAAGCAACAGGTACCTTCTGCATTACTTGCCTACAACTCTCACATAGTGCAAGTACAACCAATAGGAGAAGCAGCTCAATCTGCGTTCCGGCATTTGTTGCAGCCATGAACACAATGTTTCATCCTTGTCGATTATCACAAGCATGTAAAAACACAGATGCACTCAGTTCATTAAAACCGTTCTGCCAAACACTCAGTCGCCAATTCACAGCATGCTAAAATAAAGAAGTACGAAAACTAATCATATAACAGCGCTCATTAAATTTTGTTTCTTTGAAGACTTCTGCAGCAACAGCGGGTGGAAATTTGCTTGCAATGCTGGGGGAACTAGCGACAATTTAGAAGCGAAGCTCCTTAAGCTGTGGGTCGGCCGTCCTCGATGTATGTAGTTGTAGGTAGCCGCCTCTCGTTTAGTACTTGGAATGTCTGCTCGATGACGGTACTTGTATATGATGAATATATGATGAAAAGATGCAAGATGGCGGTACTTCGAGTGTTCGTTGGATGAACGAATCGACATACAGACCGACGGACGAACATACAGACAGACAGGCAGAGGGACAGACGGATAGACGAACGGACGCATGGACGTGGCCAGCAGACAGACAGACGACTAACGGTTTACTTATAAAACCCCCTGAAGATTTGCCCCCCCCCCCTTTTCCATTCACTCCGTGGATATGCTGCGATTTTTTTTTTACATATGCAAACCCCGTGCACTTAAGATTGTAGTTACATAGCCATGATGGTTACACCTAGGTCCTTCAGGAACCTAAAATCCTTGCAGTTGCTAGCACTTGACCTGCCTTAGAGAAAGCGATTCTAGCACGTCCAATCAAAAGGTAAAGTGGTTGTCATTATCAAGAAATAGCAGCGCTGGTTTGATTAGTCAGCCACCTGGTAGAGCTTCGAGCTCAGGAAACAAATACAGTGTGCCTCAAAGTTTGCGAGAACATGCGCAACCACAAGGCGCTAGCAGCAAAATGCTAGAAGCTGTGTTGTCTGCGGGTTCTCCCCATTGTGGTTGGCACTGCTTTTGCCACACACTGCTCTTGTCAGCCATTCACCCCTCTGAGGAATGTGCTCTTCTCCCTTCCTCCCAATGCAAGCAAGAATATATGGACGAGTTAGTACTTAATTGTCGCAGTGAATGTTATAGCGTGAAAAAACAAATGAACAAACGAAAAGTCAACAGACAACGGCTGTTGGCACTCGTCCAGTCAGTTCACTTTCTGAGCGGAGAAAATTTTTCTAGGACAAAATGCTACAAAACTCATTTGTATATTATATGTCGTTATCAACTAACACTCAGCCACAGCGCTTTTCGGCCAGACGTGGAGCTTGCACCAATAAAGTTCATCATGAATCAATTATATTAATGGACAAAATGTATACAACAGCACTGTCATAAAGCTAGAATTTTACATACTGAACATGCAGTCCTGCCTCTTGAAGAAACAAAAATGCAAAACAACTCAACAGAAGTACATAATAAGTACATGCTAAAAACTAGCACACTTGGTGTAAGAGGGTAAGCGAAAGCTTTGAATTATTCACTGAAAACAACCAATATAGTTGCCTTTTTATATTTGTTAGGCTGAGAAACAATAAGCAAGACCCAACAACTGTCTCTAGTATGACACCAAACAGTGAATTGAGTATCGTGGGGTTAGTCGTCTTCTCCAATGAAACAGCCCACTTGTTGCCTTCAGTATAATTCAGAAACAATTTATTAATATTATCTTAAAATGATTAGGACAACAAATGAAAAAAAAATCGCAGCATATCCGTGGAGTGAATGATAATGAGTGGGGCGAAGCATCCATCTGGGTGTTCGTCCATCCGTGCACGAGTCTCGCAACTCGCATCACTGCACGAAACAGACAACCGACCGGCACGGATAGTGCAGAGTACAGCGTATGTAAATTCGTGTTGCATGCGCTGACAGTTCTTGTCGGAGTTCATGCGTTCTGACAAATTGATTATGGTGCACTATGCTCTGAAGAAGACTTGAGATCATTCCTCCATCACTAATAAATATTGTTCAGAAGCCACCAACCCACTCTCACAAAATCTCAGACAGCGCATCACGACGCAGCCCATGCATCCCACGTGATATGCATCCGTACTAGCATAGAGGACGTCGAAAAGCTCGAGTACAGATGCTGCAACGACTGAAGGACCACCCTGACGTTTATTATACAGACATCAGTCCCTACCCTAAGCAGCAAGGGCAATCTCCCACTTTCGCTCTCACTGTAGTCAACCGAGGTAGACTTGTCAACTCCGCCTCCATACGTACCTCATCCTTCGCCTCAACCGAGGCAACTGCCATCGCTCTCACCAACAAGGTAAGATATCTCTGCATGCATGGTCTCAGACTCTTGGGCAGCTTGTCGCATGTACTTCAAGGGCATATTAACAAGAGCCATCAATCTGTTGAGAAGTGAACTCTTCTTCGACTATGG